TAGAATACTCAAGACAAGGGAGAAGAGGCGATGGCTCAACTCAATATACCAAAAATAAATACTCAAAGAAGAAAGAAGAGGCGATGGCTCAACTTTAAATACACAATAAAAACACAATAGAAGCTTTATTAAACACAATAAAAAGAAGGTAGGCGATGGCTACACTTCCAAGAAGATAAGTTGTAATTAACAAGGAAATAAAAGTGAGGAGAAGACAGTCTGCTCTGCCTTGGGAAAAAAGGCAGGGTTTTTATATCTTTTGAACTATTAGTAAACGACCCAGTTAACGACCTAGTTAACGACTCAGTTAACGACCCAGTTAACGACCCAGTTAACGACCCTTTTAACAACCTAGTTAACAACCCTTTTAACAACCCAGTTAATGACCCTTTTAACAACCCAGTTAACGACCCTTTTAACAACTCAGTTAACAACTCAGTTAATGACCCAGTTAACATACCAGTTAACGTACCTGTTAACGTACCAGTTAACGTACCTGTTAACGTACCTGTTAATGTACCTAATATTATACTAAAATTACTATTATTTGTTGAAAATTTGACTAATAAACTAAAGCTAAAAATAAACATATAATAACTACAAATTATACTAATAAAATATACTAATAAAATCTACTAATATAACACTATATCTACAATCTACTTAGAGATTATTTATTTAAACTTTCTAATCATCAATACTCACTAATTTTTTTTTTATATTCGACGGTCCTGCCTCATTGCTTTTATTGGAAATACTAGGAAGCTATTACAACAGGAGGTAATAACATTTCTATACTAAATTCTTATGCTAATGAAACTCACTCGGCCAATGGCCCAGGTGCGACCCTACCTAGCAGCAATCAACTTTACATTGGATCCTCAACTTACTGAGGATTTGTACCCTTCGATCATGAGCTATAGCAGCTGCATACTTCATTAAGTAGCCAAATACAAAAATACTAACGAAAGGAGAAAAACACAGAGGTATAGGGGATCACGTTAAAATATACAAACAAGAAAGAAAAAAGGTGAAATCAAAAGAAAGAAAAAACAAAATAAAAAGAAATTTGTCTATCCTAATGTCACTATTATAAGCTCAGGAAAAGCTTTAAAAAATTACATACTACTAAATAAACTAGTCCCTACTCTAAAATTTATCTAAATAGTATATTTAAGTGAAAACCCAGTGGGAAACTTCTTCGACCGAAATCGTGTAGAGAGGTCGGTACTCGATAGTAGTCTCAGAGTATTGTTTGATTGAATTGTTGTATTTGAGACACGTGCCTTGACATGTTTGTTGTCCTGTTGTACTGATTTAGAAAGTAAACAATACCGACTGTTTTGGTGCACGTAATATCGATCTTTTGGAGGTGGTAAACTGAAACACCCACTTTTTACAAAAACTCCTTGAAAAAAAGTGGTGGGTCAATGAAAATATGTGAGGTTCTTCTTGTAAGAGTTATAGTTGTATAGTCCAGTTCCTCAGTTTCTACTTAGTATTCCTGTCCAGGGACCCATAGTGACGTTGCTCCCAAAATATCCTTTTGGTTTAGATGTCGAAAGTGCAAAGGAGTCCACTAAAAGCTTGACCTAAAGGCACAACCCACTCGTTGTTTATACGCCCGCTCTTCGGTGTTTCACGTATACAAAGTTTCGTCGACAGCAAGTATGTTTATATAGTACTAGAAATATTTAGGTGTTCACTTTGTTGCTTTTCTATATCATTTTTTTGTAGTTCGGTTTGTTTTGTTGTTGACCAAGGGATCGTTAGAAAGAGTTGTGTTATTTTTAACTGCACTGTTTAAATTTTTTCTTATTTTTTTATTTATTTTTATTTATTTTTATTTATTTTTATTTATTTTTTATTTTATTTTATTTTATTTTATTTTATTTAATTTTATTTTATTTTTTTTCCTTTGGCAATCCTGTTTATTTTATTCTGGGAACAGACTTTCATTCTTATATTGACATATAAAGAAATCTAAATTTATAATGTTCTAACCAAAAGATAAACTTATCCACAGCATATCTTACAAATGCCAAAACATCTACTTGCAGTTAGAACGAACCATTAAACCACTGTGTTTTGTCCAGATGCGACTTGTTTAGTAAACGATTGGCCTCCTCCAGAGATCCAGAACTTACTCTGAACTTATTTCCTTGTCTGATTATTGTATCATCCATCAAGATTTCTGCTCTACAATAGAATATCACCAAACTGATAACACTTTCTTGTAGAAAAAGAAAAAAGAAAAAAAAAAGTGATAATAGAGAATAAAAAAAAGAGTATATAATAAAAACTAATACATCAAAAAAACAAACACTAATACTAAGAAATAGAAAAAACTAAACTAAAACCTAAAAGAAACTATTGTAAAAAAAAGAAAATCTGCTAACCAAGCAAAAACTTCTAATTATACAGAGTAATGATCTACTATTAAGTGTAAGAGTCTTGACAAAAAATTTAAAACTAAAATAAAATGTATTATAACTCATGCTAGAGTCTAAAATTATATACAGATAACTAAAGGATGTCTATATATCTCTTTTTACTTTGCTTTATTCTTTTAGTTAAATCCATATCTTTATCTAAAAATATAAGAATTTTAGAATCTCCACGTAATCTGTTCATTGACAATATTATATATTTGTATGTTCTCAACAATATGATACATAAGGTATTCTTTCAAACACTCATACAGTTACTAAATTCATCAGTACTGCTATTTTATATATATTGTTTGTCATTATATAGAGTTTTCTGATATGAAAATAGGAAATATTGCTGATCTTTTGAAGGAGTTTGCCAAATTTCTTACTTTTTGTTAAAAATTATGGCCAAAAGTATCAAAGAGAAAAAATATTGTATTTGCAAGAGCTCAAAACAATAAAAGTGTTTCCAGTTGTTCTTTATAGAACTAAAAAGCTTTAGATACTTGAGTTAGAAGTTTTCACTACTATTGTTATTAAAATAACTCTTTGGCTTAAATGCTGAATGTGCGAAGGAGTCCACCAAGAAGAAAAGCTTGACCTAAAGTACAAATTAACTATATACATCCACTCCTTAATATTCTATATATAAGTCTTTATTAACAATAATATCAATAAGGGCAGTGTTATTTATCACCTGATTTTTTTTTATCAGAAGCTTACCCCCCCTTCCTTCCTTTTAATATATAATTTGATCAGCTCCTTATATATAATTTTAAAATTTTTACCTCCTTCCCTCCTAAAAAATTACCTGATTTTTATGTTTCTAAGAAATCTCAGATATCTTTGAACTTTTTAAGGTCTTGAATCTTCAAACTGTTTTGGTGTGAACTTGGTTCAAGTGATCATCAGAATGAGTTTTTGATTGTAAATATTTAGCTTTTTTTTATTTATTTTTATTTTATTTTTATTTTATTTATTTTATTTTTTTATTTAAAGACAAATTTTTATTAAGTTAGGGCAGTGTCATTTATCATCTGATTTTTTTTTATTAAAAGCTTACCTCTCTCCTCCTCTTAATATACTAGCAAATACCCATGCTATTAAGCACGGTATTAAAATTATTAAATTCGATAGTTTGGTATAGTATAGATTTTTAGTGTAGTATAATATATTTACAAGTTCTATATAATCTGTATAATGTCTTTATCTATTTCTGGGGGTCGTCTAAA